ACTCTTCACCATAAAATCAATCAATCCTAATCTATGTAGCACCGATACTGACACGGGACACGGGACACGATACGACACGACACTCCGACACGTTAATTCTAAAAAATGTTAGATTTCGACACGTTAGGACACGTTTTGATATTAAATAATATTTTTAATTTATGTAGTGTATATTATATTTAATATTCAACAATTTAACAAAAAAATGAAACTAAACTTACAATATTCATCAATTTTGCAAAGAAACATAAGATATCTCTAATATTTATAATAAATTCAATAAAATGATAATCGTAATCCAACGAATCTAATAGTTGAAACTAAAAACTTTGAACCTTTTTTTTGAATTTCTATAACGCGTGTTGGAGTGTCGGGAAGTGTCGGAGTGTCGGAGAGTGTCGGGAAGTGTCGGACACGACACGTCAGGGTTTTTGAAGTGTCGGTGCTTCATAGATCCTAATAGCTTAAATTAGCAAGAGTTCGAATCAATAGGATTTTGGGAGTGCTTCGCTTGGTGTGTTTCGGTCGTTCGTTCTTCATCAACGTGTATCAACGTTGTGCAGACCGCATATCCTTCATCTCATTGAATTTAGCAAGGATGTATACTTCCTTTGATCAGGTATATATGCATTTTGTAATTTCTATATATTATGCCTTAAAATAGTTATATATAATTAAGTCTCATTCCTCTTCTCTTTAATTTCTTAGATTGTGTTGTAAATAATAATTATTTAGTTATTATTTAGTCATTTATTTGTTGTATTGGGCCAAGCCCATTAGGTTAAAATTAGGTCAAATATTCTCTATAAATAGAGAACCCTTTGTACAGATTATTTACAATTCTATAATATATTAGAATACCCTTTTTCAAGTTGGTATCAGAGCTCTCGATCTGAGGGCTTTGCTTCCGCACATATTATCTTCTTTTTTAACAAAACCCTAATTTCTTTGCCTCTTGCCGCCATCAGCCGCCGCTGGAAAATTTTTCCGGGGACCTTTTGGACCAAGGGGACCATTGTTGACCTTATTTTTCCTCCGATCTAACATTCTACGCACTGTTCCTCTGCCACAAACGACCGAAACACCTACGACCGCCTCCAATCAGATCTGTCTTCACTGTTTGGACCACTTTCCGGCGACTTTTCAACCGCGACCACCCACAGACAGGTGCGCGCTCACCGGACGACCACACCAGAAAAATCTCAGCCGGCGAAGCCCATCCACGCGCTCTCACGCGCCGCCCCTTTCCCGGCGAGTGAATCCCACGCGCAGCTCCTTTCTCCGGCGCGTGGAGGCACGTGCGGCCGTGTTTTTGGACCGGACCACCACCATTCTTCTCGTCTTCTTGTCTTCTGTCTGGATCTGTAATTATTTTTCTGATCAGAGGTCATTTGATATTCTGTTTGGTTGATTTTATCGCTGGTTGTTAACTTTTTTTGTTAAAGAATGGCCGAGCATGATAGTTCTTCGATCTTATCTGGTAAGAGCACACGTTCTATATCTCTTCTTGCTTCTTGCACTGATTTTAAAACCTCATGGATTTTGGATTCTGGTGCAACTGATCATATGGTTTGTCGTACTGAGTTGTTTTGTTCTTATCATCCTACTGTTGGTAGTCATACTATATCCGTAGCTGATGGATCCCATAAATCAGTTATTGGTTCTGGTAACATTCAAATTCAACCTTGTTTCTTAAACATGTTCTTTATGTTCCTCAGCTTTCTACTAATCTTATCTCCACTCAAAAACTTACAACTGATTTGAATTGTTCTATCACATTTTTTCCTTCTCATTGTCTTATTCAGGATCTTACCACGAAGAAGACAATTGGAGTTGCTAATGAACAGGATGGGTTGTATCATCTCCTTCCAGACCATGCTAGCAAAAATCAATTATTAATGACACGTCATCCTTCTACTGCAGAGTCTATGATTTGGCTCCATCACAAGCGTCTCGGGCATCCACCATTTAGTCTTTTGAAGTCTATGTTCCCCTCTCTGTTTCTCAATAAGTCGGTTGAGACCTTTCATTGTGATGTTTGTGAATTTGCAAAACACCATCGAGTGTCATTTCCTTCTAGCACTATTAAAAGCAGGAACCTTTTTCTCTTATCCATTCTGATGTTTGGGGCCCTTCTAAAGTGCACAGTGTTTCAGGTGCAAGGTGGTTTGTTTCTTTTATTGACGATTGTACTCGGATAACATGGATATACTTGATGAAAGACAAGTCTGAAGTACCAGAGATATTTATTCGGTTTCATCACATGGTTGAGACTCAGTTTGGTAAGGGTATTAAAAGACTCAGATCTGATAATGGTACTGAGTACGTCAATCAACGCCTGTCACAATTCATTTCAGACAGAGGTATGATTCATGAGCTCACATGTGTTGATACCCCTCAACAAAACGGGGTTGCTGAAAGGAAAAATCGTCACCTTCTTGAAGTTGCTAGAGCACTACTTTTTCAGACATCTGTTCCTAGTTCTTATTGGGGAGAAGCAGTATTAGCTGCAACTTTTTTGATCAACCGTTTACCTTCACGGGTCCTTAACAATATCAGTCCTATTCATTCCATGACTTCCTTCTTTCCTTCTGTTCCCATATTGCAGAGCCTTCCACCAAGAGTGTTTGGATGTGTTGCCTTTGTCCATGTTCATAAACAACATCGGAGTAAGTTGGATCCTAGGGCTCTTAAGTGTGTCTTCCTTGGTTATAACCCTTATAAAAAAGGGTACAAGTGTTATCATCCACCAAGTCGGAAATTTTTTGTTTCTATGGATGTCACCTTTCAAGAATCTGAATCTTATTTCCTGGGTCCTCATCGTCAGGGGGAGAATAGTTCTTCAGAAGACTCGTCCCCTTCCTTCTTTGAGTCTGGATCAATCTTCTCTCTTCCTAGTGTGTCTGCTCCTGGTGTGTCAGAACCTTCAAATACACCTGAGATACAACCCATACTGTCTCACCAGCAACCTCAATCGTCTGAACCACTGGTAAGTCCTGAATCTCCTATTTCTTCTGAGTCTCCTGAATCTCCTGTTTATGATTCTAATATTATTTCCTCTCATGATTTGTCTATTTCTTCTGATGTCTCTAATGACTTACCCATTGTTTCTACTTCTGATGACTTACCTATTGCTCTTAGAAAAGGAAAAAGATCTTGTCACAAGAAAACTTGTTCCTCCTGTCCCTTTTGTACTCAATACCCTATCTCCCACTTTGTTTCCTCTGCTAATCTTTCTGTGCAGCACAAAAGCTTTGTTTCAGCACTAGATTCTATTGCAATCCCAAAATCAGTACATAAAGCCTTGAAAGATAGGAATTGGGCTCAAGCCATGCAAGAGGAGATGAATGCTTTGGAGAAAAATAAAACATGGGAGGTTATTGATAGACCCAACGGAAAGAAAGCAGTAGGGTGCAGATGGGTTTATGCCCTGAAATATAATTCTGATGGCACTCTTGAGAGATATAAGGCTCGATTAGTGGCCAAAGGTTACACTCAAACCTATGGCATTGATTATAAAGAAACCTTTGCTCCAGTTGCAAAGATGAATACAGTGAGAATCTTGTTATCCCTTGCTGCCCATTACAATTGGGATATAAATCAATTTGATGTGAAAAATGCTTTCCTCAATGGTGAGTTAGAAGAAGAAGTCTACATGGAAATCCCGCCTGGTTTTGATTCTGTGAAGGGGGAAAATAAAGTTTGTAGATTAAAAAAGGCCTTGTATGGATTGAAGCAGTCACCTCGTGCTTGGTTTGGAAGATTTACTAAGGTTATGATGACCTTAGGATACAGACAGAGCCAAGGAGATCACACTCTTTTCTTCAAGCACTCCCAAAATGGGAAGCTTACTGTGCTCCTTGTATATGTTGATGATATTATTATCACAGGTGATGATTTTGTGGAGAGACAGATTCTGCAAACACGACTTGCCTCTGAGTTTGAAATCAAAGACCTTGGGAAACTGAGATATTTCCTAAGGATAGAAGTAGCTCATTCAAGCAAAGGAATTTTTATCAGCCAGAGGAAATATGTTCTTGATCTTCTCAAAGAAGCAGGAAAGCTTGGGTGTAAACCCTCTAATACTCCTATTGAGCAGAATCACAAGATGGGCTATGAAGAAGAGATTCCTCCAGTTGATAAAGGACAATATCAACGGCTAGTTGGGAAATTGATATATCTGGCCCATACTAGACCAGACCTAGCTTATGTTGTTAGTGTTGTCAGTCAGTTTATGCACGATCCAAAAGAAAAACACATGCAGGCAGTAGAGAGAATTCTTCAGTATCTTAAAGGTACACCTGGTAAAGGATTGTTATTCCGACGTGATGGCAATCTATCTTTAGAAGTCTACACAGATGCTGATTATGCTGGATCCGTGACTGACCGTCGTTCTACCACTGGTTATTGCATGTTTCTTTGCGGTAACTTGGTGACATGGAGAAGTAAGAAACAAGATGTGGTTGCCAGATCAAGTGCAGAAGCTGAATTTCGAGCTATGGCTCAAGGCATTTGTGAGTTACTGTGGCTGAAAATTGTACTTGATGATCTCAAAATAAAATGTGAGGGACCTATAAAGCTGCTATGTGATAATAAGTCCGCTATTTGTATAGCTCATAATCCAGTCCAACATGGTCGGACTAAACATATTGAGGTTGACCGCCATTTCATCAAAGAGAAACTTGATAGCGGGTTGATTACCACTCCATACATTCCCACTGGGCGTCAATTAGCTGATCTATTAACAAAGGGGCTTCCTTCAGACATATTTCAAGAACTTACTAGCAAGCTGGGAATGATAAATATCTATTCCTCAGTTTGAGGGGGAGTGTTGTAAATAATAGTTATTTAGTTATTATTTAGTCATTTATTTGTTGTATTGGGCCAAGCCCATTAGGTTAAAATTAGGTCAAATATTCTCTATAAATAGAGAACCCTTTGTACAGATTATTTACAATTCTATAATATATTAGAATACCCTTTTTCAAGTGATTGCAATAATGGGTCTTTCTGAAGCAAATACGGCAACAAAGCCAAACACACGCAAGAGAAAGATTGAAAGCAAGAAAGTGGAACAAAAGAATAAAGAAAGCGTGATTGAAATCAAGAAAGTGAAACAAAAGAATAAGGAAAGCGTGATCTTCTCCAAACACAGAGTAGGACTTTTTAACAAAGTCACTGAACTATCCATTCTATGCGAGGCAGAAACAGCATTGGTACTCATCAACTCTGAGAATGGAAACCTCGATGTTTGTGGCTACCCAAACCCTGACACTGTCATTCAACGCTATCTAGCAAGAGGGTATTTGAATTTGGATCCCAACCCCAACCAATATGCCCGTGCCAATAAAGTTAGGAAGAAGCAAGAATCAGTACTTGAAACCTTAAATCTGCAATATGAGGCCTTTGAGACTCTGTTGGAGGAGAAAAGGATGCATCTACAAGCAATCTTAGAGGCACAAATCATGGCCGGTTCCTTCTTCCCATCTTGGTGGGAAAATTCCATTGAGGAGATGGGTTTGAGCGACCTTGAGAATTTCAAGACCTCCTTGGAACATTTGAAGCTTAACTTGGTTGCTATAGCACAAGAGAAGAAGGTAGAATAACGTACAACAGGCCAGGGAATTAGGGTTTTGATCATTATTCAAATGTTGTAGCACAACATTTGAATCAGCTGGTACAAGATTGTATTAGTTTTATGTATGATTCTTAACGGTGGATTTTGATCATTATTGATAACGAGGGTTTAGGATTTGTTTGATTAGTCTTTGCAGTATGTTTTTGTTCTCGTTTCTTTTCTTTTTTTTGTTCTAAAAACATGAAAAAGACGTAAATGTCGACACTTTTGTAATTAACGCTGAAAGGCATCGCTGCATTGCATCTTTGAAAAATTATCGAAACCCTTCTTCTTTCTCCATGCGTTAATGTCGTTTGACTTTTGAAGTAAATATTTCGCCGATGGTTATAATCACCACATCGCACCATAAAATAGAAGTTTGAACAGAAGGCACGCAGACCAAATAGAAACTACTGCGGAAAATCAAAAGGAAAAACAGCTCTTCTCTATACATAGGGAATCCGAATAACAAAAGAAATAGTAAAACACTCAACCAAAAATATTAATAACTGCTACCCATAGACATGCATGCCCTAATTAATAGTGGCCAAAACCATCATCAGGAACCGTGGAACTAACACCACAGTTCCATACACCATACCCATTGAAACCCTCATTCAAGAACGACACATCTGATAACCTTTGCATCGGTGATGATGCAACTGGTAATGGTTGAAGTGCAAGTGGCAATGGTGAAAGTGAATTATCAACCTCCTCCTTCTTTTTACTCTCCCTTGCAGCAACAAGTTTCATCTTCAAATCTTCTAAGCAATTCTTGAATTCTTCAACTTGTTCAAAACCCATATCCTCGATGGAGAGATCCCGCCATTCAGTGAATACCAAACCATTCTTTTTTGCCTCAGTGATCTCTTCATGATGCATTTTCTCTTCTTTCAACTTAGCTTCAGTTGCTTCATATTTCAGCCTTAGAATTTCGACACCTTCTTGAAACTTCCTTTTAGCAGCACAGTTGTGATACCCTCCTTCGCCTCCTCCAGCGCCATCGTGGTAGCGGCGGATGACGGAGTCCGGATCGGGATAGCCGCAGGCATAGACCTTTCCTTTCTGAGAATTGATGACCAAAGCGGTTTCAGCTTGACAAAGAAGGGATTGTTGAAAAGCCCTTGTTTGCGTTTCGAGAAGGTCACACAGCATTTGCTTTTTTCTTCCACTTTCTTGATCTCAACCTTTCCTTTTCGTATGTTTGACTTTCTTACATTGGAAGAATCCATTGATATCAAAAGACAAAGAAAAACAAGAAAGAAAGAAAAGACAGAGAAAAGGAAAACTTTCCGGACAGACAGCGCTCCAAAGAAAAGGAAGTTATATATTTGAATATAATTTTGCTTTTAAAATAATATGATAGTTAGGATACAATATTACAATTCCAAGATTTACATGTCTTTTTCCCCTTAACAGATATCAAGTAATATCTCGATTTTAATTATATTGAATACTTTTATTTCCCGAAGATTTTTGGAGGATTTCCCTTTTATTTCCCCTCGCTCAATCTCTCTATTTTTTTTTCCTTTTTTTTAATTCTCAAATTATATCTTTTGATTTTAGAGAATATCTTTTGATAGATAATATAACCTATCTCAAGTATATATTAATCTGACATGAGAAACAAAATATTATTATTCATTCTGTACTAAGTACTGCACACCGTAGCAAATCAACGGTGAATTAAAAAAAAGTTGACATGAATTAAAATTTTTAATTATTGTATTTTTAATATTTTTAATTTTAATTATCCTTGGCTATATTATAAAAGTCTTCGTTAAATAATGAATTATGATAATAAAAAATTTCATTATTGAAAGAAAATATTTTAAATTTATCTTTTTATTTATCAATCTTGTCTCTAATATTTTCGTTTAGATTCTCTTCTAAATTATGGAATTGAAAATATTAAAAAAAATTAAATTCCAATGGGATTGTTGCATATTATTTTTTGCAGTTAATAACTTCAATCGGTTATTTTATTTATATATATATTTGAATATAATTCTGTATTTTAAATAATATGTTAGTTAGGATACATATTACAATTCCACGATTTACGTGTCTTTTTCCCTTTACCGATATCAACTAATATCTCGATTTTAATTACATTGAGTACAATCTCTTGTTTCCCTTTTAAATTTTATGCCATCCTTATAAATTTGCATAAATTAGAGGAAAGTCACGTGCATTACTCTAGTCAACCATAATTGAGTTACTTAATTTTTCTTTTTCCCGTTAACCGATATCAACTTTCTATTTTTGTCATTATATATAGTTAATATCAATAATAATGAAACCAGACAAAATTCTGTTATAATAATTAATGGAGGCGGTTTACATTATTACAAATTAAGAAGAGTTTTATGTCCATCAACTTTTCATTCGAATCAACAGGATAGGATTTTGGAAGTGTTGTGTGTTTCAGTCGTTCTTCATCAAATGATATGCATTTAGCAATTTCTATTATGCCTTAAAATAGAAATTGAGTGAATTAAGACTGCAGATCCTTCATCTCATTAAATTTAGCAAGGATAAATAGATCCTTTGATCAGGTATATATGCATTTTGTAATTTCTATATATTATGCCTTAAAATAATTCTGGAGCACATTATGAAGTTTTTTTTTTTTTTTATATATTCTAGCTAGCTGCCTTCTTTGTTTCAGTTTTTCCAATATGCAGTTTTATTGTTCTTTGTGAAAACTAATTACATTTTGTAAAAAATTAAAATGGGTTGTAGTAACAGGAAGTAACTATAAAAGATGAACGTAGTATGGTAATAAAAGAATTTTAGGAACAAGGAAATCGATGTAAAAGACAAGTTCGTTAATAGTTAATAAACAAAACTTTCGGATAGCTAGGTAGCTCTATATGTATTAATAGAGACACCTAATTATTAAGCATTTCAAAAAAGGAAATATATTTAAGCCTACTCCTGCCTTAATAAAGCAACTGATGCACAAAGTATGTGTTAGTCACATAAAGATATTGAGTGAATAGGTAACAGAATTAGGGTTATATATAAAAGCACTTTCTATCATTATAACTATGTCTCCTTTGTCTTAATTCTCTTTTCTTAGATTGAAATGGCTCTTTCAGAAGAATGGTATCAAGAGCATCCATGTTGTTGTAGCCCTTGCCACTTCCATGGCTCGCGGCAACAACAATCGCCCACCGAATTCTTCTTCCTCTAACCTTGCTGCTACTGGGACCTCATCCTTAATGGAGGATTCCAGCAGCCCCTATTTTCTTCATAACAGCGACCATCCTGGTATGATTTTGAACCCTCACCTTCTTTCGGGTTCCAATTTCAACTCCTGGCATCGTGGCATGCCACTTGCTTTGACTGCCAAGAACAAATTGGCCTTCGTTGATGGCTCTGTTCCTCGCCCTTCATCCAATGATTTGTTGTTCCCTTCTTGGAATCGATGTAATTCCATGGTTATCTCATGGATTATCAACTCTGTCACAAACGAAATCGCTGATAGTCTCCTGTATTTCACTAATGCCTTTGATGTGTGGTCTGACTTGAAGACTCGATTCTCCCAAGCTCATGGTCCTCGCATATTTCAGCTCAAGCAGATGATCTCCTCTCTTTTCCAAGGATCTCTTGATGTGAACAACTATTATACTAAGCTGAAATCTCTCTGGGATGAGTGTCACGACTACGCTCTGCTTCCTCACTGCACCTGTGGTGCTCTTCGATAGATCACAGCACATAAGGACCAGGATCATGTCCTCCAATTTCTTATTGGATTGAATGATTCCTTTTCATCTTCGCGAGCTCAGATCTTGCTGCTTGATCCATTGCCACCTCTTGCTAAGGTGTTTTCATTGATCCTTTAGGAGGAGCAACAACAACAGATATCAGTTTCCTTACCTGCCCCTGCCATCCCTGATTCTCCCCTGTTAAACTCGATCACCACCACTCCTTCCTCCTCCCCGACTATTGCTGCCACAGCCCTACGTCGTTCGAAGCCCCTTTGCACCTATTGTAACCTTTCTGGGCATACCCGTGACAAATGTTTTAAACTTCACGGGTACCCACCTGGCTATAAGCCCAAAATGCCACGGCCCAATTATTCTAACCTTCAGTTTTCCCAGGCCCATCCCCAAGCCCACTCTATCCTTGGGGTTCCACTTATTTCCCCTCATTCCCGTCCCCGCCACTATCTCCCTAATCCCCATCCCTTTGTTCCTGATGCCCCACTTGCCTTTACACCGACACAGTACAACCAGCTGCTTACCCTCATTCAACAGAGTTCTGCCACGTCTCCTTCCTCCACCGCTTCATCAATCATCTCGAGTCTTCTCTTTCCGTAGCTAGTCTTCACGGTACGTCATCTCATTCCTTCACTTCCACCTGTTGGATATTAGATACGGGTGCGACGCACCACGTCTGTATTTCTCTTCCTTTTTCTCAATGTTCTTCTCCCTCTGTGTCTCGTATTTCCTTCCCTAATGGTTTTTCTGAGGTTGTGTCCTCTGTTGGTTCTGTTTCTATTTCTCCTTCCCTTTCTCTCCTTAATGTTCTTTACGTTCCCTCTTTCTTGTTCAATCTCCTCTCTATCAGTGCCTTGACCCGTGATTCTCCTGTGATAGCTAATTTTTCTTCTTCTTTTTGCTTTCTAAGAATACCAATGCAACAGGCCCAACCTACCTGTGCTAAGAAACGCCACAAGAGAAAGTGGGGGGCGGCGAGGCTCTGATACCATGTAAAGAACCTTGAGGTACACCACCCCAAAAGCTAGCTCTAAGGGTGGGAGTGCCCAATGTCTTATAAACTCCACATTAGTTGCACATACAACCAATGTGGGACTATATATCTCAACATATAGCAAAAAATTTGATATCAACATATTTCTCTTCAGAATGAGTACATAGTTATTGTCATAAACATCTTTTATATATAACAATAAGTTTTGACCGATGATAAAAAAAAACTCAAGAAGATTGAAAATGTTATTCAAGTTGACCATATCTTATCTGATTATTAAAAAAGATTTTACATTACAATCAATGATTTTTTATTTTCTTTTGTTAACACGATTATAATGATTTTATTGTGATTGGAGAGAATTGCGATGATAAAATAAAATGTACAAAAATAATATCATCCCCAAGCGCACTATTAATTGTAACTGCGCAATTTGAAATCTGTCAAAAGACACCTTACGGGCATGTTTGGAGAACCTGATAAAGAAGATAGGATAGGATAACTTATTGTATTTTATTTTTATCTCTTGTTTGGTGGATCAATAGGATATGATTAGCTTATTCTATTGTGTTATGAGTTTTCTGGAAATTAGAGAGAAGAGAGAAGAAGGTAGAGATGAAATCAGAAGAGAGGGAAGTTTGTCAAACTTTTTCATGCCATTTTCTCATTCATTCATCTTTTTAATACATTCTAACAATTTTCTAACTGACTCCAGGTGGCTATTCCCTGTGGAGCCTACGTATTACACTTCATAGACTATCATCACCAAATACAATTAAATGGGCTCAAACTCTAACATTGGTACTGATCCAAGTAACTGGGCCGCTTGGTAACTCTTGTGGGCCTAACATTAGTATGGGTTGTAACATCCCCTCCATGATGAAAATCCGCCTCGTCCCTGAGGTGGCTGAGATAAGAAATTGGCTGGACACGTGAGGGCAAAGGTGGGGTGCTGTCGGTGGAGTGATGGCCAGCTGGAAATGAGTTAATAATAGCCGTGGGATGCTGGGTAGCTGTTGAAAAAGGAACAACTGGGATCGTCTCTTGGGTTTGGGACTCTGATAGAGACTGAGGGCTGTTTATCAACGTCACATTCGACACAGAAGGATTGGATGAGGTTAAACCATTTGAAGAGGGAGAGGGCAAGCTTGGAACTTGATGTTCTTGTGGGTGGAGTGGGAGGTTGGTGGTCGGTGAAAGATCGGAGCTTTGCGCAGATACCGGTGGAACCACTGATAACTCTTCAAAAGAGAGTTATTTTTGGACTTAATTGTGATATTTTGGTGCTATGATTACATAAAATTCTCTTGATTTTATAAGATTAATGCATGAATTCTGTGATTTCATAATTCAATTGAGAATTATGTTAATTATGGATATTTGGATATAAATTGAGCATTGGAAACATTTAAATGCATTTGTTATTTTATTGCAGGTCAATGTTGTAGCATCGGGAAGCAGTGTTGTAGCAATGCAGATGAGGTCAGCAGTACACATTGTTGACATCAGCACCAGCAAGCCATGGATCCAAACCCAATTTGATGGAAGAAGCTTCTGAACGTGTACGAAAAGATCTGATTTGGATACACGCTCAAAATCATCAAGAAATCACAAGATAATCTTCATCAAATCAAGGATTACAAATCAGATTCGAATCTGAATTGTAAATATGGAAAGAATCCTGTGAGATATGCCACAGCACACTCTGTCAGCATGACAACAAAACAGAGTATTAATCTCAATCAATCACAAGGAAGCTTCTGAGCACGAAAATAGATATTCTGATATGAATAATCACTCAAGGATCTTCAAGAATCCTAATCAAATATTCCACAAATCAGTGTGCACAAATCCAAAGCAAATCTGAATTATATTTGGAAAGATTTGGAGAAGATATGTATCAGCATTATGTGTTGTCCCTGATCAGCGCTGCAACAAATAAGGAAAGAATCTCCAATCAGTGCTGTAGCAAAACAGAGCTGTATCTTCAATCATAGCTGCAGCAAATAAGGAAAGAATCTCCAATCAGCGCTGTAGCAAAATAGAGTTGTATCTCCAATCATATCTGCAACAATTAAGGAAAGGATCTTCAATGCTGTAGCAAAACAGAGCTGTATCTTCAATCACAGTTGCAGCAAAACAGAGCAGATTTGAACATGATTTGTAATGGATTTGAAGAGCTAATTGGAGCCCAATTCATCAAAGTCTATAAAAAGAGGAAGCCTACACAGATCAAAAAGGTTGGAGAGTCTCTCTTTGAGGCTGGTCAGCCTCTCTTTTAGAGAAAAGGTGGGCTTTTGGAGAAGATCCAAGCCGTGAAACACTTAGAGAGCTTTTGAGGGTTTGTTGAGAAAGATCCAACACATCAAAGGGTGAGGCTAGGGTTTGATAGAGAGATCATTGAATCCGGTGGATCCCTGCACTATTCCGGCGGCTGAGATACGGTGGATGGTGGCAGAGCCCATGGTTGCTGCGGGAGCAGTGCTACAGCAACACCCCTGTTTGTTTTATTTTAGCTTTATGAAATCTTTATCCCTCTTTGTTGTTTCTTTCTAATCAAGTATGTCCTAAATTGTTAGGATTGGGTGATAGAGTACCCTTATTGTGATGTAATCAGTTTGCCTAAACTTTGTTATGTGGTTTTCCAATTTGTTGTTTAATAAAGTGCTTAATTTGTCTCTATTCTTGTTGACTTATCAAGAGAGAGCTGCAAGATACTTAGGGTTTGGGCTATAGAGATATAGGTGAACTCAGAAAGTTATTAAGCATTGTGGTTTAACTAATTTAATTGGTTAATTGTGGGTAGAGAGATCATTCACACTATAAAATCAAATGGAACTTGCACTTAATGATTTATAACTATGTTGGCCATAGAGATGTGGGACTTAGTATACATGTATTGTTGGTGAGAGCCCTTGTATACATCAGTGTTCTGATTACTGGTTGGACAATTGTTATAGCATTGTTACTACATTCTGGTGAAATTGCAATATTGGGGAAATTGATCCCAATCTACTTTGTTACTTGATTTCTTTGTTCTTGAGTGCACTTTTAGTTTATTTTTACTTTGCTTTTAGTTATTAGTCAGTAGTTAGTGTTACTTTAGTCTTTACTTCTTAATTTATAAAACTTTCACAAATATTGTTACTATTATTACTTCACATTGATCCCAACTTTATAGTTTTCTTCGTGGGAACGATATCTGGACTCACACATCCACTTTATTACTTGTTGACACGTGTACTTGCGTAATGTGTGATTGATAAAAGGGGTACACAATTGCACAACAACCACCATGGTTGTCTGCCCTGCGAAAAGGAACGAGTTTTCCCTAACCTCATGTCCGTCCTCCCATGTGGAATCTTTTGGAGGTAGGCTATCCCACTGGATCAAGAGTTGGGGAATCTGGGTATCATGACGCCAAATTGTCTGAGATGCCATAACAGCCTTGGGTCGATGAAAGGTTGTGAAAACCGTAGGCGATTGAGGAGGCGGGTGGATCGTGGTGGTTAATTGGAATGAAACGGTCGGAGTAAAGCCACATGGAACACCAGATGTATCCATGATGAGGCAGGGAGGTCCAACCGGTAAGCAACTGGACCGATCCTCTCCTTGATTGTGAAGGGGCCATAGTATCTCAAGCTCAGTTTATAGGATGAATGACGTTGCACCGACAGCTGGCGGTATGGCTGAAGACGGAGCAGGACTGTATCACCCACTTCAAAGGTAATGTCTTTTCGCTTTTTGTCCACCACTGATTTCATATGTTGCTGAGCTCTGACGAGATGCATTTTTACTCTTGTGAGGATATCTGCCCTTGATGACAATTCAGAATCAATCGCCTCATTGGAAGAAGAACCCAGTGTATAAGCTAGCATACTAGGAGGAGGTTTACCAAATATAATGTGGTATGGGGACATGCCCGTGGAACTATGAGTATTTGTGTTGTAGTGGTACTCGGCCCATGCCAAGTGCTGGACCCAAGAGGAAG